ATTAGTTAAATAAATTAATACCAAATAAATTTAAAATGAAAATGTAAAATAAAATCGTTGATTTCGTACTCCCTAAAATAAAGGATAGAATAATGGATTAGTTAAATAAATTAATATCAAATGAAAATGTAAAATAAAATCGTTAATTTCTTACTAACTAAATAAAGGATAGAATAATGGATTAGTTAAATAATTAATATCAAATAAATTTAAATGAAATTATAAAATAAATTCGTTGATTGATTTCGTACTCCCTAAAGTTAATGGATTAGTTAAATAAATTAATATCAAATAAATTTAAAAAGAAAATATAAAATAAAATCGTTGGTTTCTTACATCTTGAATCATTACTAAACAAAAAGTTAAGATCATTAATAGAGATTAAATTAAATAATAATCCTAAAAATAATTTTTCACCGTCTTTTTGCACATTTATTGGTTAATTTAGCCTTCATTAAGTTATTATTATAGAATTAAAATCAAATGTGAATAAATGACTACAAAAATAGGTTTCTTATACTTTATCTAGTCATCATTTTTAATAATTAATTACCTCATGCAATAATTCTTTTAGTGTCTTGGCTGACTTCAATGCAACCCGTTTCTTATTCCAATGACCTCTGTACACTTCACCAAATCCCCCCTGGCAATTTTCTCAATATTTTTAATCTCTTCGAAAGGTATTCTCTCAATTTCAGGTGTCGATTGAATAAACTTTTCGATTTCATTATTTGATTCTATTTCTTTATTAGTCTGCCATATGTTTAAGATATGTTCAAAGAGGACGAGCAAATGCTATTGTTTGAGATCAATCTTTCCGTAACAAAGGACAAATGATTGACAGTGCATGACATGTACACTCCCCTGCCAAAATTTTACGACCACCTGACGATCATCCAATTATTTTTTGACAGATGTTTAAATTCAAACCGCAATTATTCGCCACATATTTGCTTAAATTTAAAACTTTTTTTTTGAAACAGAGAGTAAATACTCCTCTAACTGATAAACATAAAATAATCTCAATTTTCTATTAAATTCGCTGAGAAAACAATGCACAAGAGAGACTTATCCGATTTTGAACAAGGAATGATAGTAGAACTTCACTTGGCTGGAAAAAGCGAAAGAGACATAGGTAAGATAGTAAAGGTAGGTAAAACCACTGCACATGATGTTATATCAGCTTACAATGAAGATGGAAAGACGACAGTAGTGCCTAGAACTGGTAGACAGCCTATTCTAGATGAGTGAAATACTAGGCAATTGGTAAGAACTGTAAAGAAAAGTCAGAAAACAGCAATAGAAGAGATAACACATGAATTTGCATCTGGACTCAATATTTTGGTAAGTAAATGTACAATTCAACGTGTTCTTCATGAAGAAGGATTTTATGCTAGGATTGGTGTTCATAAATTCTTTATTTCTGAAATGAATTGCACAAGATGTTTAAAATGGTATGAAGAATGGAAATCTTGAAATGATGAATAGAATTCAGTAATTTGGAGTGATGAGTCAAGATATTTAATATTTCAGAATGATTCTTGTCAACAGATTTGGCACAGACCACATGAAAATATGATATTGATTGTCTTATTCTAATAGTAAAGTCTGGTAATCAGGGAGTTATGGTGTGAGGTTGTTTTACAAGAAATATGATCAGTTCTTTAGTCATAATAGAAGGAAAACTGAATACTGAATCATACAAAAACTTGCTTGAAAGTCATTTATTACTATTTTATGAAAACTTAAATAGTGACTTATTATATTTTTTCCAAGATGACAATGCATCATGTCATAAAACATATTTGGTCACTTCGTGAAAAGAAGAAAATATGATTAATTATCTTTGATAATCTGCACAGAGTCCAGATCTAAATCTGATTGAACATCTATGGGATGTTTCAGAAAGATAGATTTGTGTGAGAAGTTCTCATTCAAAAAACAGAAATGAGCTAACTGTAGCTCTGACAGAAGAGTAATTAAATATTGATCAAACTATTCTAGAAAATCTCATCAATAATATATCATGTAGAGTTAATGCTATTATAAAAAGTAGAGATAATCCCACAAAATATTAATATTAAATAAATATATTTCAATATTTTCTGGTTCTATGCATGTAAAATTAATGCATATTTAATAAAATAATTGTAGAGTAAATTCGAATTGAAAATTAACACTACTTGTGATAAATATGATGATTAGTATAGGTGATTGTAAAATTTTGGCAGGAG